ACTTGGTTTTAAGATATGCTTTTGTTTGTGTCAGTAATACTAACCAGTTGACGCAAATGAAGTAGTTAAACAAAGGTTTTTACTTCCATCCAGTTGATTGAAAGACGAATACTTCAACCCCTAAGACAGATTTAATATATACGAAATGTATAATTTGAAATACTTTCTTTACAACAAGACTATTGTAATCATTAAAAAATTTTCAATATGGTATATGTTGCACTGTTATACTGTAGTAGGATAATAACATCCTGAAAAAGTACCAACAGTTCAAAAGAAAACTCTTTTCAGCAATATCGAATTTAAATGAGATACGGCTGCTGAAATCTTGAATAAACGGATTTCCAAATACCTGAATAAAATCTTCTACTCAGCTAAGCTCCGCATAATCTTCTCAAGCCGGCCTACCATTCACGGATGTGTTAAGGATTGAATTCATCTTTGCGTCACATCGATGTGCATCTATAAATTTAATTGCTCCTGTAGAGCAGGTTTTATTAACCGCACAAAGCGATCACTTTCTGAACGCATCTCAGAATACCACCCAGCATGACTTTTAAAAGAATGCAAAAGAGTTACCAGCTCAATACAAGAACATCTGATCAACTCCGGACACGTCGCTCCGAATGAGTCTTTCCTTAAAATAATCTACACAGTCAAAGAAACTGGATCGAAGGGAGGTCGAATCAAAAACTTATGCACTGATAAGCCCGAAATCAGTGTTTATTGTTCAGTTATTAGTATGACCTTTATGAACAATTAGCTTTTATAATTTCGACCCGTAAATTATTTTCATGCTTATATTATTCTCTAATCCCCTGATTATTGCTTAGCCTCATTCCATAATTGGAGTCTCGAATCGCTTTATGATGCAGTCTTTTCTGTCCTTCTATAAACATATATTTACCATACAACTACAAGCATGAATGTACAGCTTAAGTAAGTGATTTCGTCGAAAAGAAAGTTTTCTTCGCTGAATTCTCTTTATTTTCATTCAGTTTTCATATCCAAAACAACATTCCATATCGACCAGGCTGTTATGTCTACGTGAACAGTATGCTGTATATATATAACTAAAAAATAAAACTTAACTGGTTGGTGGAAGTGGAATGAGTGTGACGTCTATGGAGAGTCGGTATTGTATAAAATATACTCAGAATTAAATGAACGATAAAAAGCTGTTTAATTTTATCTTAATGCATGTGTTGATTCCATGTTGATACTGTTTCTCTGAATCAAACTCAGGTTAAACAGAAAATATGTTCTTTGTTAGATGATTTGATTATAGCAGACTGATAATATTGATGTAAAGCTAACTGGTAACTTAATACATAGAGAAAACAACTACTTATTATTCATCAATTCATGATGAATTCATAATTTGAATTAGAAGGAAAACCATAGAAACACTGATAAACTTTAAATGTTACTGAATACATTTTTTTCTCATTACGTTATTCACTGATATAATTCAAAGTAGACAAGTAACATAGTAAAATGTGATCAGATTCATATCGTATTCATAATGCTAATGATTAGACTTAATGGTCTAATTATTTGTTACCCAAACTAATAACTCAGACACCATAAGTTCATGTTAGACTACAAGAATTATTTGTTGTTGTTATCTACTAATTATTTATCAGGTTTCTTTCTACAGTCGATAACTGCTCTAACAAATGATAATTATTAAACCAAGTTTAAAATGAGGCTAACTAATCAGCTTACTTAATTATAGATGTGATAAATATTATGTAAAATTGTATGTTATAATCTAATATATGTAGTTTACAAACAATGCCTATTATGTGTTTATTCTATATGTTGATAAACAGTTTCATACTAGGATCAGACGATCGTCCAGTTCTTTCAGGTATTCCATAATGATTTAGTTTTAATTGACTTATAAATTTAACGGTTAAAATTACTACGATCTCCGCAAAACACTCTTTCTGATAATAAACAGTCAACAATTATAATATTGAATCAATGAACTACATATTCATTAAATAAATGAATTATAACATTATGATCAGAAGGGGTTTTGTGGAGTGTTTTAGAAATTTCACTGATTGAAATCATGAGTCAATTGAAGCTAGACCACCATGGAAAACCTGGAAGCACTAGACGACCGTTTCGTCCTAGTATGGGACTTCCCCAGCAGTGCGTATCCACGATCCCGCACCCCGTGAGATTCGAACCCAGGACCTATCAGTCTCGCACCAGGCGCTTAACCAACTAGACCACTGAGCCGGCATCCAACGGTGAATTTTACCTTAGTGAACTTTTTTGACCACTTTTTTTATTGATTTTTTGATTAAAAATTAAAGGGTATTGAACAATTGTTTCACAGTAGTATAAAACCACCTAGTTATTTACATTCATGGCCCAATTAAAAGTCAAACTTAAAACACTTTTAAAAAAAGGTTTTTCAGTAAAGAAAATAATTTTAAATCACTTAGTTGAAATGTAATGGTTTATATTTTGAATTTTATTTAGTTTGTCATATAACCCTATACCCATGATATATACCTAATGGTTTTTCGGGTTGTAGCCAAATAATTTTTGTATAGATGACTAATTTATTTAATAAAACATTAGGAGTTAATTTATTGATTAAATTGGATACCTGTGGTTTAATGAACTTATTTTACACTATTTCATTAATGAACTTGGATATTTACAACATTTGAAAACGTCACATACTCACACACACACACACACATCAACATACAGTGACATACAGTTTGAAGTTACATGTCCAACTCGTTGATATGTGGTATGAAGCTTTTAGGTGCTGATAATTTATCAATCCACGGGTCATTTTCGATAGCCATCTATGGTGTGTGGTTTTAATAAACTCAGAAAACCACCTCTTAATTAAATTATGTGAAAGGCTTCAAGGCTTTAAATATATCTATATTAATCGTGAGGAACTTAGTAGAAAGACTGAAAATTGTACATTTTGTTACGCATGATGTCTTTGTAAAGAAATTCACATTCGAAAATATCTCGAGTGTGCGATTTTGTGTTAAGATTAATTAAATATTTCAGTTAAAGCAAGTCCTATTTTCAATTTTACATGTTTTTATACATAATTTACTAATGCAGTTAAGATTATTTCCCTTCCCTATGCTTCCTATTGTATTAATTTTTTTCTCTAGTTATATGTGTAGCATAATCATCCCGGTTAGTAACAGTATGTTGACTGTAGAAATATGGTTAAGTTTTCTAATTATTACAATATTCTTTCTTTCTATCTTTTTTTCTCGTTTGTTTTTGATTTAGACGTAATCTGATTCTGTCATATGACCTGATTTTTATATTACTGTCAAAAGAAATGAACACGTAAATAGCTGATGTATACTTTCTACCATGATTATCAAGCTGTAGGAATAAATATTATATTTCAACGTTTAATAATTCATGTCAATAGACGATGTTAAATTTTGGATTTCGGAGTAGAGTAATCGAACAAACAGATTTTATGCTCAACTTAAATGCGATTAAATCTTCTTCATTGTACTTGTTGAAGTTAGTCAATTATTAGCTCAGTAAAAATTATCAATTGATCTCCTGCTATACTTGTATACATTTAATCGACTTACTGTCCGCGATAGGTTAATTTAGTTGCCACGCAATCAAAATGCTATTTTATAGAAGCTAAAACTAATTTTAGCTAAGCTTTTAAGTAATTAATCTAACTAAAATAAATCTGCAGTAAAATTCTCAAGAATCAATAAAATCAGTAGAGGGTTGAAGAGATTGTTGACTTGTAATTGAGATCATGAGAAGTCCCATACTAGGACAAAACGTTCGTCCAGTGTTTCTAAGTTTTCAATGGTGGTCTAATATTAACCGACTCATGATTTCAATTAAAATCGGTGAAGTTAGTATCTTTATTTAAGTCTTGAACAAATAACCAAATTTCAAAAATCGACACTATTAGAAAACCATTCTATCTACTAAAATAGATTCATCCGTAAGGTTGATGAATTTGCTGACAGTTAAACATCGATATCTGTACTGCTTTCTGTGATCTAAGAGAGGATACTACTTTGATCGATACATTCACAGATACTTCTAAAGGTTTAAAGCATTTTATCATTCTGGATTTAAGTTACCCTTAATAGTTAATGTGTTCACAGCCGATTAACGTAAACTTCCAAGTTTTTTTTAGCTTTTATATCTTTTCTGAACTTTGTCAACGGTCATAATTGTTATTTTAACAACGGGGCGGAAGTCATTCTACGCCGCATAGATAAGAAATTTTCAATCAATCCTCAACCTAATGCTTATCTAGTTCTTCTCCGAATATACCTCAAAAGCATTTAATCACTAATATGATTTCTTTAAAGAATACTTTATATCTCTTTATGTCCAAAGATTTTCAAAGCAGTAAAGTCATTATACCATGTATATGTTTCAGAAGAATAATTTATTCTTCATAGAAAAGAATCGGATTTATTTAGTTTACAATTCTTTGTCGACCAATTAAAATCCTTCATTTATATCATCCATTATCTGTATCATTATACTGAACTTAAACTGATAAAGTAAGGTAACTTAATTATTTTTTTTGTTTTTGAAAATCAACATAACACCTCTTTATTTGTTTACAGACCATTGATAATTGAAATCTAGAAATTCTGATTATTATTGATATCTTTTATTTCTTAATGATACAATACTCTTTCTATTCTATTGTAGGTTAATATTATCAGAGATAAACAAACTAACTATAAATATGTGTGTACAGTTTAAGTAAACACGATCATCTGGAAGAAAATTCTTACCGCTGAATTGAATAATAAGAATAATCAATAAGAAAGATACGAGTAAATATAGTTAAAAGTTGATCTTTTAAAACATTAATGATCACTTACAAATTTGTATGCATATTGTTCAACGGAATGTAATAATGTAATTATATAATAATGTTCAAAGACATTCAGAGAAAAAAAACACAATCAATAACAAATAAACATCTCTACATTATTTCATGAACTAATAGAAGGTGGAATAATAATAAATGGTACATTACAATGATGTAATACATACTCACTAACAGAACCTAAAAATGTACGTCTGAATGCGCCTAAACCACGATTTCCAATCAATATAACATCAACAGATCGTTCTTTAGCTGCATTAATTATTAGCTCACCTGGTTTACTTCCAACTTGCATAACATATTCCATTTGAATATGACTATTTTTTAAATCATCATGTAATTTGTCACCAAGTATTTTACCTAATTCTGAATACATTTTAATATTTTTATCCAAATTAATATTTAACTCTTTTCCATGATCATGTGTCTCATTTGCAGTAGACTTGGAGTAATTTGCTTCAACCACATGAAAGAAATAGGCAAAATCATCTGGTCTACTAAATTCTGACAAATACCAATTCACTGCTCTTTTACTATGTTCACTACCATCAATTGGTAAAAGAACTCGTCGTACACAATTAGACGTCATGTTTGGGTAAGAATAAAGCTGTTCAAATAACTTTCACTACTAAAAAAATTAAAATAAATAAACAAATAATATAAACACATTGAATTAAGATATGTCATTTGATTGACTGTCCCTGTGATTGGTCAATGCAATTACCAATTAAAAAATAGGCTATCTAGTAACACAATAATTTTTGAAGTAATGTTGTTAGTCATCGTTTATTTCAAAAGTATTTTCATATCCCGTGTACTAGACCGAGGGTGCCCACTGCTGAGGAGTCCCATACTAGGACGAAACAGCTGTTCAGTGCTTCCAGGTTTTCAATGGTGATTTTGCTTGGACCGACTCATGAATCCAACTGTGGATTTTTCAAACACAGAATTAACATTTGTGAATCTTATGAAATTATAGTTATTTCATTATATAAGTATATTCTACGGAATTTTTTGGTTTACCAACAACACCTTTAATAAAACTCATCATTTTAAGCATAGGTACATCTGTGGTGTATGCTACTTATATTGACAGATATAAGTAGTATGTAGCACCAGTCGGAAGTGGAATGCTTGAGAGCAGAAGATTGAGAAGATTGAACTGAATAGAATAGAAAGGGAAACCAAGAGGTATTGGAATAAAATTCAAATTTAAAGAATGAAAAAGTATGTGCAGAAAAACTGAAGTAATTGTACAAATGAAGTGTTTAATGTATGATTTTCCGATTTTCCGAAAGCACTGTGTAATTTTGAATTCAATAATAAATAGGTCATCCCCCACACAACTGGCAAAATTTCACTCTTAATTAATATAGGATTTCTCATTAATTCATCTTACTTATATTTCAGTGAGCTTTTAGCATCAGTTACATCTGTTTTACGATTTGTAACATTTTGGAAGTAAATGATATGCAAAGATGAAATCAGAAAGCTATCTTAAGTCCTTAGCTATACAGAAGGATGTGGGAATACACATGACTGATGTGAAACCACTACACTATAGGGCGATATTTGTCTACATATGCTCTACCTACTTAGAAGATGTGTTTAAAATTCAAATGATTCACTTCAGCTTAACAAAAACAAGGGGGCCAGTCTATACAGTTTATTCCAGTTGGAATGTCTTCTGTAATAAATTTTAGGTATTCTGGCGTTCGTACTGCAAGATCTGAAAGCAGTGGATGATGGTTTTATGTAATATGATTTCATATCATCATGATGATAACGACATGTTCACAACTTATCTGTCATTAAATACAGGATCATATATTATTGTATAAATCTTTTTTATATTAAGGACGCTTTGTTTCGGTAACTTTTTTCATTGATTTTACTGTTATTATTGTTACACTTTTTGTCATGGTTATTTTCATTATTGACTGATTTCTAGATGAATAGAGCGCGTGCGAGAGAGCTATGAACAAATGGATTTTTAAATTGCTACCCCCTATAAACTTATATGTTTCTTTCTCCCTATCAATCAGTTATTTAAGTCATAATCAATAATAAGTGCTATCGTTACATAAACAAACAAAGTGATAAAATTATAACATAACAAACATTTGACTGTATCACATAAGGTATTACATCATAAAAATTAAACACTTTATTTACAGTAAAAAACAATACTGATGATAGAACAAGAAAAATTTATTGAATTTTGTTACTTTCTCTTCAGCTAGATACATGTTTATAAGTTTAATTGCTTCCAGTTATTGATATAATGTTAAAAATTGAATTGTCATTCAGTATATAAATACATTGTTTATAATATGAAAGACGTTAAGAATTAAAGTTTTAATAAGGTGTTTTCTTTTGGGGGATTTTCATGCATATAGCATACAATTCTCTTTGAACCTAGAACACAACAATGGCATCATGCATTTTCCCATCGCCCTTGGCAGATCAGGCAACCCGGAAGTCACGAGAACACCATCAGGGTATATGACCGGCTAGGTACCCCGGTCAATAAAATAATAATCGTTTAAGACTTGGGTCAATACCATTAAGCAAGCGTAAATGCAACCCTGCACGAAGCCAGATAACCGCTGAAGCCTAGGGTTGTTACGGCTTTTAATTCCTCTAAATAGTCAAATTAGGTCACCTTCTCAGCATCACTCGAGCTGCAAAGCCACTACAACGACACTAATCCAACAACCTCACTAAACCATTCAATCGGTAGTGACAGAAGGTGGTGTGCTGCATTATAATTGCTTAAAATGGCAGTTATAAAATATTCGACATACTTTTTATCATGTAATATGAAAAGCAAAGGACATTTGAGTTCAGTTCACTTGGTTATGATCACAATTCATCGATTGTTAAATGCGTATTATAAAGTGAATACAATAAATGAGATCATAGTTATTAACAGACGATCAAATTCTTATTAAATTACTTTCAGCAGTATAATAGAATACGTTATCTTGTTAACTGAACCTAGCCAGTTAGTGTCAGTAAGAAATAGAGTTTGAATCGGTAAAGAAAAAATTATTTCCTCCGCAATCGCTACACTTCATGTCAATATCAAGAGATGAAGAATTAAGGAATAAAACCAATAATAGTATCAATCATTGTAATAAGCTGGACAAATAGAATTTAGCCTGAAAAGAATGAATGAAATCATGAAATTAAAATCACAACAGTATTAAGTCTCAAGGCCTATAGAAAGATAAAAAATGAATGCATGTGTCACTAGAACCAATTTCATATTTCCTCATTAAATGTTTACATAGTGACCCTAACAAGATACAACTTAACCCAACAATCAGTGGCTTCATAACGGTTCATGTCATGTACAGCTATGACTCCACTTACTTTCTCCAGACTACTAATTGGATATTCACGATTGAAATTCAGAGCGAGTGGAGTTTGGGGGCGTTTAACACTTCAGTCTACTAGGCTCCGTATTAGATTGATCAATATGTGATTAGCATTGGAACAAACTCATCAATCTTCAAAATATCAGGATGTGTTTACTGATGAATAAAAATGTTTTGTATTTCATAAAAACTTCACCTAATCATTATATTAGATCACATCGCGGAACGGGGATTAAATCAAGCCTTCTTTATTATTAAATGTCTACACGTACGAAAAAGAATGACAACACAATCTGTCAGAAATTACTGTAGCAATTTGACAGTTTATGGTTTTAGTAAGACTCCTACACAACTGAAATAGAAAACTAAGTCAATACAAGATCAGTAGTTACATGTAATCTGATTAAAGTATTGAATAAACGACAATATACACAGTCCAATCAGGCCTCAATATGTTTAGTCGATAGAAATTCATAGAAATTAATCTTTTAATCTGATTATTATAACTATAGTTAATTAAGCACAGAATTCTTGGAATATCATTAGACTTTACTATTCTATGTAACTCATTTGAATCATGTCACTCAGGTATGTGACCAGTTGTTGACCTAGTTTCACAAGTAGCTTAGAAAGTGTAAATATACACCCAATCGATATATATATATATATATATATATATATATATATATATATATATATATATCAGTAACCCTTAAAGCTAACAAGCAAACTTTTGTATAGTTTGCCGACTTTAATTTCTAGGGTATAGATTTCTGTATAATTGAAAAACTGTTATTTGTTCATCATGAACACGTTTAACTAAATTTGAACAAATTGTTTCACAACAGTTAACAGATGAGTATTTGCAAGACATATAAAAGATTTTTTTAAAAACAACCCAGAACTATCGTGAATCGTTTATAAATAAGACTGTTGAGAGAAATGTTGAAGCTATTCAATTTCAATCATTGTTACTTTACAACTATGACTTTTATTCTTAAATGTCATGATGCGTCTTGTTTGTCGGTTAACGTGAGTAGTAAGGTATAATTTTAAAATGCCAATTAATTAGGTCCTATGTAACATGTACTAGGTTGAACATTTCTAATCAACAAATAAGTTAATCAAGGTTGATCCCATCAGTATGCCGAAAGAATGATGCTAATTGGATACTATATAACCATAGTTTATACCATTTCATATATCATATCCATATTTCAAATTAATAAAATATTATACATTGATTATACTGAATTCATTTACTGATCATTGTTAAGAAAGACTAGTGAATGGTTCTTCATGGAATACTGCTTCTTAGTCAATCAATATACAAATAAGTAGAAGTAAAAACAATAAATATACGTTTTTGATATCCGAATGAGTAGAAATTTGTGTTCCTGGTGTTTCTTGACTAAATGTAGGTCATTTCTTTAGAGTAAGTAACCTACAATAAGTCATGAAACATCAGACACAAATTTCTACTCATTCGGATATAAAAAAATATGTTTATTATTAAATTTTAACCCAATCCTCAATTTATTTAAAACTATCGAGTCCTACCTTAATATTGGTACCTAAAAGTAGAAACATTCTTACTGAATATAAGAAAATCAGTAAATGTACAATGTTTTACATATTTAATGGATTTAGGATGGTTTACAATCGGTTCTTCAATATTTTATTCAAAGAGAGATTGTACAGAAACTCGTTTATCTGACTACAGACCTATTTCTAAGTGTTTTAGCGTGCTAGAAACAATTTTTAAAATAATTCCGTAGAGATTTCACGTTTCCTATTTCCTGACCCTGTTTAAATGACCATAAAATGGCATTGATGGACAAAAATTCGATAACCAAATTCTATGTTATTTGAACTAATGTGTAACATATAAGTACAAGTTATTCAGTGTATCCCTGAAAAATTGTTTTGATTGAAAGATATATGTATTATATATAAATATACCATTGGAACACCGAGTTGGCGTCCGACAGTAGATATTTCCAACCCCGGAAAATACATGATACAGAGTAACATATTTACACTGCCCCTGGTTAAAAGTGATTCATTATGGAAATAGCTGAATTCTATTTATCACAAGCTGATGGAAGTTGGGAGCAAAAACCTTTTGATTTCAACACAATGATCATCACAAAATCTGAAGGTCTTGGTTTTAAGATCTTTTAGGATCAGTGATGTATACTACTAA